CCTTCCAAGCAAGCAAGACACCCATGCCTGTTAGAAGGTCAGTGTCAGATGGGGTCCTGAACTGTTTTAGTTGTTGAGTCATTTTTCAGTCATATATGACACTTCATGACCCCATTTAGAGTTTTCTTGGCAGAGATACTGGAGTGGTTTGCCATTTTCTTCTCCAGCTCATTTTGCAGATGAGGAAACTGAGGCAAACAGGGTTAAGTGACTTATCCAGGATCACAAAAGCTAATGAATATCTAAGACTAAATTTGAATTCATGAAGATGAGTCTTTCTGACTCCAGGCCCAACATTCTATCCACTGTGCCACCTTGCTGGTCTGAACTAACGCACACACACACACACAAAAAAGCCTACCTGTGCAAAGCTAACAAGTCAGGTAGAAGGCACGATACAGGTTGAAGACTAACAAAAGATCAGTAATTCATAGCAGATAAGATCAATGGAGAAAGCCAGCAATAAAACCTATGGTCTCAAATGGCTTATACAAATGGCTAATAAACCAGATGTCTGCAAGGATGTTAATTCATCCTTATAGGTATCACTGAGACACCTAGTAGGGTGAGACTCATGTGAACTGTGGCTATGGAAAGATATATCTAATTCAAATAGTATACAGTATTTTTAAAAGAAAGCAATAGAATTGTGGTATAAATTGAAAAAAAATTTGCATATAAGAAAATGCTGCCAGTGGGATTCCTGTTAAGGTATTAGGTTGGACTAGATAACCCCTGAAAGTCCCTTCCAAGTATGAGATTGGTTCTGTGATTCTTACTGGTAAGACCTGATAGGCAGCGTTCTACTCCTGCCACAGCTGGGCCAATGCAAGACCTTTCAGATTGTTACTTGTGAATGTAATACATGTACTAGTATGTACAAGGACCCAGTGGAGCAGCTGATGGCATTGCTACAACATCTGCCAACTCCTCATAATCCTAGGGTGGCAATAGTGTTACATTTCATAATAGACCTGCCCCCATCCCTAGGGTATTATGCCATCTTGGTGGTAATAGACTGACCAAGACAGCTCACATCTTCTCCTGTGTGGAACCTCTTATCACAGGCAAAGCTGGAAATTGTCTTTCTGTGCGGCTTTCCAGCAGTGGCACCCATTTTATTTCACACTTCTGGATTGTACTGTTCACAGCCTCTCCAGCAAATATTCATCTTTCCATTGCATACTGCTACTTTTCTAATGGGCAAACAGCACACAAATGAAACCTTAGAAAAGTGTATCTAAATGCTATACCTCCTACCATTAGAATGATTGGGCCATTCTAGCCATGATATACCTCAAAGCATTTGTCTACTCCAAAATGTTCTCTTCTATTCAATGCATTACAATTCCTATGACCATTGGCAACCTATAAGCTTCAGAAGCCATCCATAATGAATTGCAACACAGGGGCAGGAATATGTTAGAATCGAAAGCTCATTGTCAAATGTTTGGTGTAAGAAATTTATACCTTGGAAAATGGAAAACATACAAAATAGAGCTTGATTTATTATTGTGTTGATTGCTTAGACTTAAAAAGTGATGGAGAAAATGTTGATAATGGAAATTAACCTTAAAAGTGTGTCATGTGGTTTTTTCCAAAGAGCTAGTTGTTAAGCATTTACCAAAATACTTCTGATGCTCTACAGTCAAATTAGTATATAAATTGGGAATTGACTACACCTGAATTCCCAGGAAGTCATTAAGTAGAGAAAGCTAGATCTTCCAGTCTTTCCACAATCTTCACATCAGCAGACCTGCCTAAAACTTGGAGAAAGCATAGTAGATCCCTGACCCATCACTCAGATAGTCAGTCCTTAGGCCTATTACCCTCCTCACTCCAAACCCAGCCTACTTTATATTGTAGCAAAGGACATCCTTTACTAAAAGAATCTCCATTTAACCCTGAACTCTACCTTCCTCATCCATCACTGCTTATTATGATGGATGGGCAAGAAGAATAGATAGAGTCAGTCAGCAGACATTTATTATTACATGCTGGGCACTGTGCTAAGTGCTGAGAAATACAAAGAAAGGTAAAAACACTCCTTGCACTTTAGAAAAGTATATTCTAATGGGAGGAGACAATGTATAAATAATTTGGTGCACACAAGCTACATATACAGTATATGCAAGCTAATCTGAAAAGGGAAAGCATTAGCAGCTGGAAGTGATAGAGTGCTAGGCCTGAAATCAGGAAGCCTCATCTTCCTGAGTTCAAATCTGGCCTCAGACACTTACTAGCTGTGTGACCCTAGGCAAGTCACTTCACCCTGTTTGCCTCAATTTCCTCATCTGTAAAATGAGCTGGAAAAGAAAATAGCAAACCACTCCTATTGTCTTTGGTAAGAGAACCCCAAACGGGGTCACAAAGAGTTGGACATGACTGAAAAATGGCTGAACAAGTATTGGGAAAGGCCTCTTCTAGCAGATGGGATTTGAGCTGGGTCCTGAAAGAAACAGAGATGGAGGTGAGAGGGCAGAGCACTTCAGCCATGGGGGACAGCTAGCACAAAGGCATCGAAATGGAAGATGGAATATCATTTTCAAAGAACTCCTAGTAGTACACTCTGCCTGGATCAGAGTGTGTAGAAGGGAGTCTAGTATAAGAAAATTGGAAATGTAGGCAAAGTCCAGGTTATTAAGAGCTTTTAATACCAAACACTGCATTTTATATATAGTCTAAGACACCCTCAGCCTATAGGTAATGAGACTCCTTCTGATATGTATTAGCTTGCATTGGTATGGGCGCAAAGGGAGAACAAGTGAGTCAGTGCATGTTGTCTTTGCTTCAGAATTATTGGCAACTTTCTACCAGCACCATCTCAGTAGATCTATAAAGACATGCTGAGGGAAGGGATGGGGTATGATCCCCTCTCTCTAACTGATGTGGGACTGCTGAGGGGAAAGGGAGGCAGAATAGACCCTGCTCCTCCCCACATAAACACAAGGAGGTAAGGGGTGGGGAATAATAGAAGATGCTATAAAAGACCCAAATTTTGGCAAGGCCCATTGAACCAGACAAATGGTCAGCTCCCTGGTACTGCTACAGTTTGCTTCTTCTTGCATAGATCTCAAATCTCAGCCTTGGTAACCAGTTTTCCCATTTTTATTGAACACTTGAATTTTGTGCCCCAAAGACACCCTTTCTTTTTAGCTTATTCTTGCCATCCTTCCAACTCAAACCCTGACTCTTCTCCCTCAAGCAAAGAATTACCCTTTTCCTACACATCAGCTGCCTAATCACATCAGTACTGCCTGAGATTCAAATTTAACAATAGGGATCTTTTCCTTTGATTATTTTTATTATCTGAGTATGAAAAATGTTAACCTCACACACAAGAGATTATTTTCATGTCTACTTTCATAACCCTTATTTAAAAGAAAAAATAGAACCAGACACTGTATGACACGTAATTCCAGAAGAATTACAGAACTCTATACCTCAAATATTTAAGGAGAGGGTGCTCTTTTAAGGGCTTTGAGACAGGCATTTTACTCAAAGGAGACAAAACTTAATTATGCTTCCCTTTCAAAAGTTTACTCTAAAAAGCTTAAGTTGTGAGGCTTTTTTTTTAAAATTAATGATCATTCAGCATTGAGCTTCAAACAGATAAGTTGAAAAGCTGGATGGAATGAATTGCTTATGAGTTTGTGGATTTATTTTTACACAGTTGAAAAAATGTGTTGAATAATGAGTTTTTGAGTAATAGATCAATTTGTTTACATTTTTTGGCAAAGGTGTAATTTTATTACTTATTTAAGCACTATTGATTTAATGTATTATAAGTGAATTAAAGTAAGACGCTGACTGCAGTATACCAATGGGGAGTTCTGGTGCTTTTTCAGCAGTAACAAGTTTAGCACAAACTGCATAAATAGAATGAAATTGGGAGCATTGCACCATTTTGTTCCCTAACTGTATGGGTTGTTTTCCAATATGCCAAAGATCCCAATTGACTATATTGTTGCTTCCTTGGAATTCTGCAGTTGCTTTCCTTGCAAAGTGGTTTCTACAAGGTAGGCAGACAGACAGGCCAAAGAAACCTCTCTCCAGGTCTTTACCCATTAAAGCAAATACCAAAGAAACTGTAGCTTCTTTACCAGGTCCCTTTACATACCACAAACCCACATTTATCCTTCTCTTGGAGAGGACTGGAAGCAAAAGATACCTAGAAAAGCTGTGTCTCCTTCCTCATCTCTCCCTTCCAGCTTCCCTGGATTCCCTCAAGTCCCAACTAAAATTCTATCTTCCACAAAAAGTTTGCCCTCTTAATACTGGTAGTACCTTCTCTCTGAAATTCTTTTTAAAATATCCTGTACATATCTTGTTTGCACATTGTTGTTTTCAAGTTGTCTCTCCTAATAGAATGTTAGCCCTTGTGGGCAAGCACTATCTTTTGCCTTTCTTTATATCCCTAGCACTTACTACAATGCCTAGAATGTAGGAGGCACCTAATAAATGCTAATTGACTGAATGACAATTTATTTTCATCCAGGGGTATCAAATAGGATAGTTTAATTTACCAAGTGAAATAACAACAAAAAAATCTTGGAACAAATCTGACTCAGTTTATCTGTAGTGATCTAAGCATACTTTTAAAAGCTGCAAAGTAGAATGCATTTGAAAATATCATTTTTACAAGTACAGGATGGAGGAAGCATGACTAGACAAGAATGAGAGAGATCTGGTCTTGTTGGTGGACTATGAGCTCAATATGGTCAACCATGCCTCATGGCAGCCAAAAAGGCTTAATGTAAATTTAGGTTGGAGTAAGACAAGCCTAGCATCCAAAAAGTCAACAAACAAGCATTTATGAAAGGCTGGTTATGTGCCAGACACTGTGCTAGACATTGGAGATACAAAAACAAAGAATTAAATTGTCCAGAATAGGAAAGGCTATAGTCTTTCTCCATTCTGCATTGGTCAAATCTCATCTGAAATGATGTGTTCAGTTCTGGGTGCCACATTTTTGGAAAGTTGGTGATAAACTCAAATACCTGGTGAAGAGCACAAATTTCGAGGGGCCTCCACTGAAAGCCAGGTAAGTGGATCAATTGGAGGTAATGGTCATCTTTCACCTGGATAAGAGATGGTTGAAAGGAAGGGATGTGACAAGATAGTGGTCTTCAAAAACATAAAGGGATGTCCCCTGGGGATTCTACTTGGTCTACTTGATTCTAGAGTGAAAAGAACTAGTAACAATGGATGAAAGTTACAGAAGAACAAATTTACACTAGTAAAATGCAGAAAACTTCCTAGTAAGTAGAGCTATACAAACCTATAATGGGCCATCCTGAGAACTAATCTTCTCCTTCTGTGCTGGAGGACTGCAGGCAGAAGCTAGATGACCACTTATCAGAGGGGCTACCTATTTAAGGAAGGATGGGTTGAACTAGATAAAGTTCCTTCTAACTCTCAGATTGTGTAGCAGTAAAAGAAGGGAAAAAGATGAAAAGTCATCCTTAACAAGTCATATTGACATCTTTATAGAGTTGTTTTTTTTTCCTTTCCTTACAACATGACAGAAGTGTAAAGAAGAAAAAAAGCTTGAAGTTCAGTGGTGAGTTTAAAAAAAAACATAATTCTGTTATGTAAAATGAGACTTTTATACCACCAAGCCTATGTTAAAACTGCAGTGGCAGCAGACATTGGTTCTTCAGAAATTTTTATCTCTTTTCCCTTTCTTACCTAAAGCATATTCAATAAGATGTGCTCTGCCACCAAATGAATGTTTTCTTTTTTTCAATTCAATGTGTTTTTTGGTGGATGGATAAGAATAGGTTACTGCTTTGGGAAATTTCATACATTCGTGGTCATCACATACACATCACAGACTCCAAAATAATACATTTAGTCAGAGACAATCTTTAAGGGGCAGCATTGAACTGTGCATCTACAATGACAAGGTGGGAAACCATCTGTTGTTTTCTATAAGGGTCACACTTTTTTTTGTGCATTTCTAGGATAATCTCAAAAGAGTTCCCACTGATGGGACTTACCTTGAATATGAGAAACACTTGACTTGATGAAGCTGCTGTGACATGATCCACTTACAAACCTTTTTTTCCTCTTTCTCTCACCCTGCACCTCTTCAGTTTTAGCCCTTCTTGCGTCTCAGAAGGACTCGATGACTATCGTTGTACAGCCTGCCCACGTGGATATGAAGGCCGGTACTGTGAAAGGTAATAACAGATATAAGAAACACCACAGAGATTAGGATGTGGAGCTGATGTGACAGAGGATCAAAACAAGAGCGTGAGACCCTTTCATGTTCATCAGGGACTAATAGTCATGGATCAATCAGTTATATGCTCCCAAATGCATTAACATGCAGTGCCATGGGAAAATATAAATCATATTCATGCATTCAGCAAATATTTATTAAGCAATTGTGATATACAGAACAACGTGCTGTGTCCCAGAAAGGAGACACAAAGCTTAATGTTTTGATCCGTGGTTTAAATAATATGGTATCGAATATATCCATGTTCATCTCTGTAGGAAAATACAAATCACATCAATGCATTTGATAAACATTTATTAAACACCTACATACAGAGCATTGTGTCTGAAAGGGAGACAAACTTTAAATAAGATGATATCTCTCTCTTCGTGGAGCTTGCAAACTAGCAAATATTTGTACCTTTTAAAACAATCTAGGACACTTCACAAACATTGTCTAATTCCTAAGGTGGTTATCTTTAATAGGGCTAAGAATGATTTTACAACTCTGGAAACTGAGAGGCATAAAAATCTAGTCATTTCATAGGATCATAAAATCACAGATATAATTTTAGAAGAGATCTCAGAGGCCTTCTATACCATCTCCCTCATTTTACAAATAAAGAATCTATGCCCCTAGGAGGTTTAGTGACTTGCCCAAGGGCACACAAGCAGCAGGAGTCAGAGGTAGAATTTGAACCCAAGTGCTCTGCCTCTAGAATCAATGCCCTTTGAAGTGCATAACATTGCTTGCTGGTAAGTCCATGGAAGTCATTGCTGAAGACAGTAAGAGAATGTTGAATTTCAGAATTCCACAACGTAAAATAGCCTACCTTTTGTCTAGCTCAAAATGTAGACATTATTGGTCAATATTTTGACAAGTACAATATCTCACCTAAAAATGTTTAGTTTATGCGGAAGGCAGAAGATCTAATTATTTTGTGTTTTGTCTAACTGAATCTTTTTTTGAGATTTTTTCCTCTCCATCACCATACTTTCCTTTGATGGTAGGGGTTTGCAGGCATAAATATAGACAGTTTCCTAATTTTTTTTTAACCAGGTCTGTGATTTCATTGGTATAGGAAACTTCCAGTGAAGAAATTCTCTTTACCAATGCAAATCAGAAAATGTTTTTCAACTTATAGTCTTTGAGAATTGTCTGAGTCACTGAGAGGTTAAGTGGTTTGGCAACAGTCTCACGTCAAATCAGTATGAAAGTTTGACTTGAACTCAAGTCTTTATGACTCTCAGGGCAAGTGTCACAGTCCTCCTTCACCCCACTGCCTCTCAGCTATCCTAGAGCATGATCAGTTCTAATGGCCATTGAAAAACTTAAAACAAACATTTGCTAGACCATAAGCCCATTAATTTCTGTGAGGACACTGTACTGGACAACCAAACATAACATTACCTATCTCAGAGGCTCTTTGGATAAACTAATCACAGTCATAATTACAATGAAAATAATCTTTAATATTTGGACTTTAAAGGTGCTAAATGTTTATACTTCAAAGCCAAGAAATATATGTGTAAATATTAACAATAGTTTATATTTACTGTATGCACTATATACCTGAGAATGTACAGATAAATCTATTTCTATGATAACAAAAGTTAGTTCAGATATGAACAATCCAAAACAGTAAATACTATTCCAAATTCACTTATATTTGTTTTTGCAATGCATTGCATAATGCATGCCTGAATCCAATTTACTTTCTTGATGATATTTTTCTTACACCAATATTAATATTAAGATTAAGCCACATATCAAGAGCTGCCCAGATGTGCTTTTTCCATTCCATGTGTATTCTATAAATGGATGGGATTATATGTTATATTGTAATTCAAATGTAAATTATTTAAATTGCTTTTTCCCCAAATCGTGGTGTTTTGGTGTTCATTATCTCTTACAAATAAAGAGGTATAATGTAATTCCCTGGGGGGAAGAAAAAGCTAATCTTATTCAAAGTAAATTGTGAGGTATAGGCAGGATATTTACTATAAAGACCTTAAACACTTTCTTTCTCTGATTCTTATTACATTTTCCTTGAATTTCTTAGACTACTTCCCAAGCCTCACAGTCAATTGGGACTTATAGACTTCAGAATCCTTACCAAAAATTTACCCAAGTTTCATGGAAGATTTTCCTGAGAACTCCCATGCCCAGTAATGGAGAGTTCCCATGCATTTCCTTCCAAGTTGCTTTTATAACTATATCTTCTGTTATTTACCTACCTGCTAAAGGCTTAAAAGAGAATACTTTTAATTACAAATGCAAAGAAATTCTTTAAGTAGATTTAGTTAGCAGGCATTGAACAGCAGAGGCAGGATGATATAAGGAAAGCACAAAGCATCTGGCATTAAAGGACAGGGTACAAATTCAATCTGATGTCTGTGTGATGGTAAGGAAGTCATTTAACATCCCCCAGGCCTCAGTTCCTTCACTGTAAAATGAGGTTAGAATAGCTAGCTCTGAGATACCTTCCAGGTCTCAACTGATGATTCTATGAAACTTTATTTTGGGAAAAGCTGCATCAATCCCATCTATTACTTCTGTGCTTGCAATCTTACATAGGAAGCACTAAAAAACCTTATTTTGAATGTGCACAAGTCTGACAAGTAATCTGGACAACCTTGAAAAATGAGCTTCAGCAGTTTTTTTTTTTTTTTCCTGCTTCAACCTTTTCTCCCTGTAGCTTGCAGGGATGGATTACTTCCACAAAATAGTTGGACAAATTCTGATGATCTCAGACCACAAAACTAAACTCCTAGAAACGGTTGACTGATGTTGGTCCCTTCTTCTCCCTCTGCTGCCTCATAATTCACCCTCACCGTCAACTCCTTAAAAGGAGTGCAGGTTATCCCAAAAGCCACCAAGTTCTCAAGAGAAATCATAATGCCTCATACATACTAAGTGCTAAATGAATGTATTTCTCTCTAGGACAATGCAATTATATTTCACTTCAAAATAGAAAAAGTAACGTTTTGCCTTGTTCAGTGGGAAACTCTTTGTACAGATCCATACTCAAAAAAAAAAAATACAGAAAACTTTTTATTTATGACTCTATGGCAGCATTAGGGAACGGAAAGAATGCTTAGAACTACTATTGGGAGAGATCCAGTTTTGAAACCTGCTTATGACAACTGGTAGTGTGACCTTGAGAAAGTCACTTATCCTCCAAATGCCTCTTTTCTCTACCTGCAAAATGATAGAATTGTTTTAAATCTGTAATGATGACCACCATGGACAAGTGACTTAACCTGAGTCTTGGAAATGTAAATAACAATAAATCTACCTCACAGAGTTGTTACAAGAATCAAATGAGCCAATGCCTGTAAAACATATCAGAAACAGTAATGTGCCATTAAAATGTCAGTTACTATTATGGTGTAATGGGTGGAAAAAGCATAGGTTGAGAATGAGAACATCTGGATTCTAGTCTCTGCTGTTTTTCTCCAGCTGTATAACCTCTGGCATACCACTCTAAGCTTCACATTTCACATTAGTAAAATCCAAGAACTGGATCAAGTTCCATTTCAACTCTCTTTTTTATGATTCTCTAAGTTTCTATAAACAGATAGATAATTCAAGCCTATCTAATGAGAATGATGTCTTTATTCATGTAGGTATTCTAAAGGAACTTAATGTCTGCTTGTTTCTAATCAGAGAAAAACAAGTCAATGCCATTAACTTACTTCACTTTGTAACTATTTACATCCAGATGTGCCTTTGGCTACACTGGCAGCCCGAGCAGCCCAGGAGGCTCCTGCCAAGAATGTGAGTGTGATCCATATGGCTCACTGCCTGTCCCTTGTGACCCAGTCACCGGACATTGCACTTGCCGACCTGGAGCCACTGGGCAGAAGTGTGATGGCTGCAAGCCCGGGCATGCGCGTGATGGCATGGAGTGTATTTGTACGTATACTAACTTTACCAGTAGCTCTTGGGGATTTCTTTGCTCAATTCTTGGTTCATTTCAAGGGAAGTAAACTGATCTTTTTCTATACTTGTTAGTACTGTAGTTCATTCTTTCTGACACCATCCATCCAACCTTTGATATTCACCTGCTGTTCTGGCCTCCATCCCATGGAGCCCAGAACTACTAAGAAAATTCTCAGCATGCTGTAATAAATTCATCGAAAATCTACAACAAAGCTCCTGAGGGCTTATTTTATTTTTGTCTGTCCCGGGGAGTACAGTTTTGCCAAAGGTAGGTACTATCTCTGTGACAGATTAAAGATCTGGGTATATTAAATTTTTCAGAGTCCTTCTGAATTTATAATCAGTGGCCCAGCTACTTTATACCTTGAGTTACACACAGTGCCTTCCCCCTGTAGTCCATAAAGACATCTGCAGACATGCTGCTTCAAAAACATTCTCTTGAAATATGTGATCTGGAAATACTGAAAGTGAATTTAGCAAGAGCATCTTTATCTAAGCATATGCAAGAGGGGAAAAAGTTTGTGTAATATTGTTTTTAACTTATTCTGATTTCCCTCTCATTGATTCCAGAAAATTTGCATTGTGTTAAAAAGAACATCAAAATCAAGTCATAAACTTAATGTGTAGACCCTTAATCAAATCCAAAACTGAAATGGGCCTTTCCCTTATTAAGGTATTATAAAGAAACTCATTTAATTGTAAAATTCGTTCCTCCAAGGGCATTAATTATCCATATTAGTATCCTTAATTTGAGACATAGAGACAGGCAGAGAGAGATAGAGAGAGTGAGGGACAAGCAGAGAAAGATGGAGAGAGTGAGAGCAAGAGATGGGGAGAGGAAGAGAGAGATGAAGAAGGGAAGAAAGAAAGGAAGAGAATAACGGAGAGAGAGAAAAGTGACTGAGAGCAGAGCAAGAGTGAGAACAAGAATCTGTACAAAACATTGTGACATGAAGCATAATTCTGGGTTCTTGAAGGCTGTACCAATGGAACCTAAATTCTGGA